CGAGCGCAAGAAGGGAACGGAACACTTAGCATGGCTCCCCTTTATTTTACAAAAGATGGTACAGCCCCCCCCCCCCATTAAAACAAAATGAACGGGTTCCAACCAACCAATGGACAGAAGGGATCGCGCTACTTGGGTGGGGGTGGAGAGGATTACGGGCTGCGGGACAACAAGAGTGGGACTTGCGCTCGCGAAGTGGCGTTGCTATGACACCTTTCCGTTTCAGTAAGTGTTCCATGAGTGTTCGCAAAACTCGCGATTCTTTAAAGCCGACTGAATCGCGTATCACCACTCTTACATTTGGCGAGCAGGATCTAGCTCTGCTAAACGCAAGACATACAAAGGCACGCTTTGCTCAAACGCACGCTTTCGTCATATGATGAGTTTTTTACTATACAATTTAGACGTACAAACGCACGGTCACGTCTTCTAAACGCACGCTTTAATCTGCGAAACACGCCGACAGGCAAAGTTTGACAAGGGTAAATTTTCGCTTCAGCCTAGACAGCTTGCATAAGGGTAGAACCATATTAACGCCCGACCAGGACGGTCGGACCAGACCATCTTCGGGCAAAAAAGAATGCGCACCGGCTCTTTTGTAATGGAAGGTAACAAATACTGTTTCGGCTACCATACTGACGCCCGACGTCCTGCGTCGTCCCCGGTCAGACCGTCTCCGATAAAACATGTTCAATCCAAGACGGTCCGTTGGGCAAGATGGGAGGTAATTTCAACGATGTTATCTCTCCATAGTTGTGTCCCCTTTCCCGCCTACACAGAATTCTAGCAGTTCTTGGTCAGCTCTGCGTATTTCTAGAAGTTCATTGAAACTGTTATGTTTCATGCGATAGTATTGTTGGAATTTTTCACTGTCTTCCAACAACTGCGGAAACAAATGATGAAATTCACCTTGTGTATCACGCTTTCTTTGGATGGGATGAATGGAAAATCTTCTTGTCTTGGTTTTCATTTTTTTGTCTGCGTCTCAAAAGCAGCAACAACACTAATTTTTTTCTTCTACCACACGCCATATTTGCAAGACGGCAGTGTCTGACCGTTAATCTCCGGTGTAATATGGTCGGCCGCACCCGACGGGAAACGGCGGGTCTGGTCTGACTGTCAGTGTCGGACGTTACTATGGTTTGGTTGCGGCCTTAGACAAGCCCAGAAGAGACAGGCCTACACACAGAACAAAGAGAGCGATGGACACAGTCTTCACGCCTACCTTTCCGCGGATACACAAGTCTAGGACTACTGGTCGGGTAATAACTGGGGAGGGGAGAGGGGTGGAGAACTGAAATGTCTTTTGATTGGTCTCTCAAAACGCATCTTTGAGAGAAAGTTTCTGATTGGTGTTTGAGTGACAGCATACGTAGGCCTAATGATGCGCAACACACGTAAAAGTTCTAAAACACTAGATAGGCCTCTTATTAAAGATTAGTAAAGTTATCAAATGCACGCGAAGAACTTACAACGTACTTGTTCAACGAATCACAAGAGAAAGGTCCTATGTCATCCATGCATTTACCGAGTTGCAATAGATGACAGGCAGTCCGGATTGGTCGTTCGAAATTGAAAGGCCACGTGGCTGAGAGCTTTTCCCTACATTTTATAGTGCGTATCGGTGCAGTGAATCCATTTTTCTGCACCCCCCCCTCAACCCAATGAACACCTTTTTGTTCATAATTCATATCCGCAGTCGGGGAATCCTTCACAAAACAGTCACATGTCATCAATTATCGGCCAAAATGACCCATCTCCCCCCCC